GGTAGCGTAGAATTCGCTAAATACCTTCGTTTTCAGTGCAAATATTCCCTGCAGCGCTAATGTTTTGAAATATATAATTTTTTTTTTATCAAAAAGATGGAAGGGGTTTCAGGAGGTGTATTTTTCTGCGACAAAGTCGACGACCATATAGGTGTCATAAAATACGCCGAATACCTTCGTTTTATGTGAGAATATCCCCAGCAGCGCTAAATTAGAATAGAAGATATGATTTTTTTCTTAAAATGACGGAAGGGGTTGCAGGTGGTGTATTTTCCGCGACAAAATCGATGACGTTATAGGTATCATAGAATACTCCGAATATCTTTGTTTAATGTGAAAATATTCCTAACAACGAACATTTTTCGGTTGCAGGGGGTGTATTTTTCCACTACAAAATCGAGAACCATGAAGGTATCGTAGAATACAACGAATACATTCGTTTCATGTGAAAATATTCCCAGCAGCATATAGTTTTTAAGAGATATGCCTTTTTCATCAAAATAATGGAAGGGGTTGCAGGGGATATAATTTTTCGCGAACACGTTGAAAACCATTATTTCGTATGAAAATCTTCATGGTTGGCCATGAAATTATTGTTCTGAAAAATAAAATTTCATGACTAGCTATGCATTTTAACTACCAATGGTGGCTTGACGCACTTCTTTTCGTTAACAGTAAATTCCCCCAATTCGTGGCTCAAACCCATATTGCCTTCACCTTCACAATAGTCATTTTCGGTCCCCTTTGTTTCCGAACACTTGTGTGCAATCCTTTCAAATTCCATGGAGTCTAAGGCAAAACCAAGAATATTCATTTGGACATCCTATTTTCAAATATGATATCATTTATGAATAAAGAAAGTGGAATCCTTGAGATCATTTTCGAAAAATGTCTTAATTTTCACAAAGTCAAGAATTACCTTCAATTTCTCTTTTTAGTACGGAATTCAATATTGTGACCTACCTATCAAATAAATAATTATATATCAGAATCTAAGAAAATATATCTTAGAAATTGTAACGGAGTTACTAAGTCCGAGTTTTGAAGTTTTTCTGTTCACCAGTGTTCACTTGGTTTTCGATTACAAATACGTAATAGAGAATATCAGTATCTCGGTTATTTCTGGGTTTGAAAATGGCGTTTCTATTGGAGGAACACTCAGGAAAGCCCTGGGGATTCAGCCCACTCGTTAGTCACGCTCCTCAGGCATTTAAAATCTCCGGAATACATTCCAGTACTCAGCAGTACCGACCGATAACCATAATGTGTTTAAAAATATGTTTGAGATATGTTTCTCCGTTTACCAGCTGTTGCACCCCTACAAACGACAACCCTTACTATGTGTGATTCCTAACACGGGTTGGACAATAGCAAGTGAAAATCGATCGTTCAGCCTGCGGCTCAAACTACCGGTTAACACGGCGGTCATTTAAGGAAGTGAACAACGCACCCACGTCGAACCGATTGGCTACCGACCCATCAGACAATTAAGCAATGGCGTACGCGGCCTACGCAGAAGAAACGTGAAGAGTGGAGACGAATTTGGTATACAAACGTGAGCCAGCAAGAGCAAATCTTGAGTTTTAGCTTAACAGACAGACTCTCCGGTCTCCGATACTCCGACATGTTCAGTAGCAAACCAGTATTCGATCTATCACTGTACTGAGTTATCCGTGCGTCATCACTCCGAGTCGAGGTTGCGTTTTCATTATTGTTTTGACTCTGTCGCATATCTTTGTGTAAACCACTGTTTCGGGTCCTCTTGGATCCGGCTGGCCTTTCTCTCTTCTTTACTTTTTTGGACCTTCGTCGAGTTGCTACTGGGTCCTTCTTCTCGGTTGCGCTATTCTTTGTTTTGTAGGTGTGTCAAATATCAAAGATAAAAACCGTCCGAATCTTTACCGGATTCATCAAAACTAACCCGAGTTGATGACCAACACTTTTGAGTTCATAGATCTTCTCTATGATGTTTTCTATGATGTTTTCTCTTCCCCACTTGCTTGTTGATACAGCCAGCGTAGCTTACAACGCTTTTGCTGCACTCTGAATTGAGCTTTGATACCGTTTTGCTTCAGATAATGAATTTTTTTGCATTTCCCTTTCGTCCCTGTATACAGTTGATTGTATTTTGATGGATAGTGAAACATATTTGCAGCTAGTAAGCAGGTTGAATTCCCAGCACAGTCTGACTTTCTGGCTACCGATTGTGTCTGGGACTCACTGACCCCTGGATTACCGTGTCTCCATTGTAGCTGCTCAGTGTAGTGATGCATGTGTCACTATAAATTCACAAGGCTGGCGCGCCCGAAAACCCGTCTGTACCGTCAAAAGGCGTCAAATATTGAATTAACACTTCAAATTGACTAATCCGCATTCTAAACTGATCTAACTGATTTTCGAAATGTTTCACAATTTGAAACACATTCGAAGGCTCTAGTTCATTTTCGATCGGGTTCTTACGAGATCTCCGTTTGTTTAAGAAACTTGGTTCCCGTTTCGTTGTCGAATCACCACGTTCTAAAACGGTTCATCGGAGAAGACAGAAGTATGACTTCAAAAGTATACTTATTCTCAACTTTTTAAGAATTGTTTGAATAAATCAAAATTCTTGATGGCTGGGAATTGATTCCCTACTGCTTTTTCACCAAGCTGTCTGGATCTAACAGAGCAAAGTTCTTTGAACCTATTGAAACCCACCTTACTTCCTTTGGGTTGCATTGTGCTCGACAGAAGTTTTGTACAGGACTATTCGAACTGGAAGAACTTTATACAAGTAAGGGGCTACATTTTGAAATTTGCAAATTTTTGAGTTTTTTGCAAAACCTGCTCATTTTTTTATCAAAAATTGTATCACACCATGGAAATCTTTGATGTACTATTGCTGTTGTATGTTAATTCATTTTCGGAAACATCTTTGTTGGTCAATTACGTTGGGTGGCTGGCAATTTGATTTTGTACATTTTCTTCACCAATAAGCTTTCAGGATATCCGGATCTAGGATAGCAAAGGTTCTTGAAACTAGAAAAATCTAATTGACTTATTAAGTTATTCAAATTTTTATTTTCACAGATCTGGGATATTTTTGAGCAGTCTGCAGCAGTACCTACTTCAAACAAATCATAATCAGAATGCCGACACCTATTCAAAATCCATATAGTTCATTTCGATTGTTTTTATTCATTTTACACTTGGCTATACAAATAGGCGTCTACAAGTACTCTCCTTTTTTTTTGCTCAATCATAGAGTTGTTTTTCACAGTAATTAATATAGAGTGAGAGGAGAGGTACAGACAGAGATACTTTGAGTAATGTCATACTTAGATATCGGTGTAGGTACTCCCTTTGTGTATATGTTTGAAGGAACTGGTAGAACAGATGGTAACATTGCCTGAGTTCTGGACTAAAACGATTCTATGTGTGGAGGATGAAATTTTGAAAGGGTCTTTTCTATGCCTGACTTCACATAGAGTGAAGCCAATTTTGAGAATCATCAATCGGAATGGCTATAGATGTTTGTTTCAGCTCTAAAGATCCATCTATTCGTGCTTCTGAACTCACGGAAGTTATTCTATCATGTATGGTTGCATATATTTCTTTTTCGATGACACGAACTTCTAACAGTAAACCTTGGTTCCTAGTGCCGAAAACCGAACTAGGTTTGTTAATTCTCGTAACAGCCGCAAATTCAGAATGGACGAAATCAAAGAACTTTACAATCTGAAGATTAGGGGTAAACTGCTTATCAATCCCAACGGGTCTAGATCCTTCTGGTCGATAGTTAAAGTTGTTGATCAAAACTTTACAAACTCCACACTAATATAAGCGAATGGTTCAATTGCAACAACAGCTACAGAAGATGCAAATCTACTAGCTGAACAATTTGCTTCCCGTTCCACAGTCGATTTTCTGTGCCGGAACAATGCCGGAAATTACTTTGCTACAACATCTAGTCAGGCGAATTCTGAAACAGCTCAATATCAACAAGGTGTCTGGTCCTGATGAAGTGCCCGTCATCGTACTTAAAAAGTGTGCAAAAGAACCAGTACCAGTATTTTGTAGACTTTCAAACCTGTCCTACAAGAAAGGGGTTTTTCCTTCTTGTCGGAAGATTGCTCGTGTTCAGCCTATTTTCAAAAAGGGCAAGAAAAATCTTCCAAATATTTATAGATCTGTCGCTTGGAGACAGAAACACTACAATAAAATCCTGGAGACGGTCTAAGAGCGGTACCTATGCGAAAGTAGCGATTCACGTTGGATATGAATCGCTGGAGATTAAATTCATTTGGAAAAACGTCATCAGCAAGTTTCTTTTACATAAACGCAGTTCCCCAAATGAAAGATATTTTAAACAGTGGAGTTTGAGGTGTATTGAGTTGCACTCCAAAACGATGAATACATAAAAACAGGAATGAATTGAAAAAATTGGACACAACGAGAAGATCGTCTTGGACCTGTCTGGTTGCACTGTTGAACAAACGTCTGAAATGGCTACTGCTGGAAATCGCCGTAGTCCCGAATCTCTAGAATCAGACGAGTCTAGTTGGAAGAGTGTAAAACAAAAGCCTCGAGTTTCCTTGGTGGTTTCTGAAAATAGGATTTGAATAAGAATTTGTAAAGTTCAGAGCTTTAAACCCTGAGGTAAGGCCCTGTTTTTCGTTATTTTTTTCTATTGAAGCAACCATTGAACAGTGTATAACAATTCGAAACTTTGACTCTCAGATTTATTGATGAAGTAACGGTATGAATTCAATATCGCCTACTGACTATTTTTTGCATATTTCCACATGGTAATGCATACCCTATTGAAATTCTCAATTGAACTGTATTGGTATGTTTGAAGTGTCTTCTATCTCGGTGTAATTAAGTTGGTCTACAGTGACAAGTATTGAAAATATTTTCTGGAAACTTCTGTAGATGGCGTCTGAAAGAGAGCTTACAATTCTGTAACTTTCCTCAGCACATTTACTCCTGATTCAAATATCATTGCCATCAATGATGAATCCATTTTTGTAAATAACTTTATTGAATAATATAAACCAAATAAGTTTCACAGATCTTTTCCTGTTGCAATGGATCGATGCGTCATTTGTGATACTGAAGAGCTGAGTGAATTGTCTTCGTCTTTTGTGTGATGTATATCCTCCTCAGATGCCTTTATTTGTACTATCGGTGTAGCTTGGTGATGTGGACTTGCATCGGGTACTGTTGTTTTTATGAATAACGACATCACTTCCCATGGCATCAACCTAAAACACAATAAATCATAAGAATTTCATCAGAGCAAATGGAAACTGAAGATTTTTTTAGGTGTTCCTACAAGACCAGTTATGCCAGAAGAAGATTGACTAGTTGTGATGGCTCGCTCGGCATACTTCACATTTATACATTTATTTATATATATTTGTTTGGTCGTGAAACGAAACAAAACCGGTCTATCGGTTGATTGGATTGACCAAATGAAATTAATTTCTGCTTTTCATAGTAGTAAATAACTTGCGACGAATCTTCCAAATCGACCAAGTTACATAGGTGCCTGAGGGTTTTATTTCAACTTTCTGCGTGACATTAGCTGGGTTAGTTGTTGTTTTTCCGTCAGGTATCTGCCACACGTACCTACAAAGTGGTAGGTCTGCATGATAAGCAAGGGGTAAGGTGAACCAGGGAAGGTATATACAGACCGTTTTTTTTAGGTGATACCAATATTGCTATCTCGAAAACGGTAGGTCGTACAAGGACGGTTGAATAGAACAAAAGTTACCTTTTCAGGGATGCAACACAATGATATTTTCAGATCCATGAAATCATCAACGGTTTGCGAGATATTTGCAATAAACTGAAAATGACAGATTTTATTTTTTTGCTCTACCGCCTCCATTTACATTGATATCAAAAAATGACACAGACACTTTTTGCTTTATTTCATGTGCTTCATAGTCTGGGTGAACTTATTTTTCAATGCAATGTTTCGTTCATTGAATTCCATCATCAATATATGTTTTTCAAATACGGACCTGTATATTGTTGCATACATTTTCGTAGTCATTATAATTACAAATCCGTTGATATATCACAACATCTATATTTCCCGAAGTTTCTTCCCGAAACCACATCATCACTATCATTTTTATTAAGAGCTCGAATTTCCGAATGTTACTGAAATCCAGAGTTCTCCTGTCGATAATGTCGTTCACCGAGATTATAAATATTTGTATTCACTGAAATCCAACTGAATTTCTGTCAGGGTCGTCTTGAAAAAGAGAGACCAATAATCTTTGTATCAATACCAAGCCATTCATAATTTCCAGGTGTCTGAAAATTTGTAGCTACCCAAGAATTTCTGTTCAGGAAATGAGGATATTAACAAGAATTAACTAATAAAAATACTGAATTAAAAAATCCATAGATGATTTTCACGAGTAACATGATAGGCGATAATTTCTTTTTTTGAAGTAAGCCATGAAATACATGAATGTGAATGTGAACTTACTTGTCACACACAAAATAAAAGTTATTCAAATCTTTGAGCGATTTTAAGGGAGAAACATGAATTTTTCCAATGACGAAAAAGTTGATACACTTTTTGTATATTCGAGATGTTTGAGGAATGCTACCAAATCTCTGACAATGTATCAGGAATTGTATCCTGATGACGACAACCTGATCATAGATATTTTCAACGAATCAAAAATACTTTACGGAATTATGGATCTTTTGAAAAACTCTCTGAAAGAAAATGTACGGTTACTGAATGTGGTGGCGATAATGAAATCGGCGTTTTAGAATACCTACGACTTTGTAGGTACGTGTGGCAGATACCCGACGAAAAAAAACAACTATCCCAGCTAATGACTCGCAGAAAGTTGAAGTAAAGCCATCAGGCACCTGTGCAACGTCTTCAATTTGGAAAATTCGCCGGTTTCAATGTACTTGCCCCCATCATCAGTACTGGGCATGGACTCTTCAGAATGGAGTTAACCGTATAAGTATCACGACCAAACACCAGCACGTCGTTTTGATTTCAAACAGGTTGGAGCCTGGCTCCCTTACCCTTTGGACTGTTGTTTGCTAGAAGGACAAACGGGTCATAAGTGATGGTGAGAGTTGATGGTATGGCGGCATGAATGTCCTCAGACATCAGTACCGCCCTTCACGGTGTACCCCTACCTGGCTGGGGTGGGTTGAATAAAAAATTGTTCATCTTTTAATGGAGGACATATAGGCCTCATTCGACAGAATGTCGGGGCCTTCTATATCGGGAGGGGTCGTCTACAGTATAATCCATAGCTTTCCCGACTAATGGGTTATCATGAGTTTTTGCACCTTCAAAAACTCTCTGATTTCTCAACTGAATGGGCTGCCGAATGGAAGGCAGCTGCAAATCTCTGCGGATGGATTCATTCCGCACGAACCAAGGAGCATTCACAATCATCCTCATTAACTTGGTTTTGCAATACCTCCAGAATGGAGATATTATATTTCGCCGCTTGTCCCCAGACGCCTGAAGCATACATGATGACAGGCTTGACCATCGTATTATAGATGGTAATCTTGTTCTTGAGACTCATTTTAGTTCTTCTATTGATCATAGGGTACAGACGTGCTATCCGACCCTCGATCTTTGATTTGACGCTCATTATGTGCGGGTTCCAAGTAAGCCTACGGTCTATTAGAAGGCCAAGGTACTTTACCCGCGCTTGCCAGTCAATCTCCCTTTCAGAGATTCTCACTTTTCTGGCCGGAGAAGATTTCAATCTTCCCATGGTTATCGCCTGAGTCTTTTCCGGGTTCACTCGGATCTTCCAATCAAGGTACCAGCGCTCGAGGTCGTCCAATGCACGTTGCATGTAGACGACACCGAGCTCCCGTCATCGGCGTACAGAGATATCTTCACACGCTCGGGCCTCGGAAGGTCACTGGTGTAAAGTGAGTACAACGTCGGAGTCACGACCAAACAAATATAATTCCAGCTAGTCATGAACTCTTTCTGCAGTTGATTAAGTGGGATGTCCAGTGCGCCACCTGCAGACAAAGCCAGGAAACAACTTCAAAACACATACTCCGGGGTAGGAGTCAGAATAATGATTAATATTCCGAAGAGGTGCATATGACATGCTCCAGGTTCGGGTGAAAACACCTTACCCCAGGGGTAAGGTGAAAACACCTTATCCACCTTATTTATGAAGGAAAAAATATTGCAGTCTATGCAGTTATTTAGGTAAACTGTTGTTGTTCTGACAATATTCATAAATGAATAAAAATAACACATTGAATTTTAAATCTATGGACTGGTATAGTGATGCCTATTGCAATTCTCTAAAAACAAGTTGAATTTACACTGCCACTGCTGAACAGTGGGTGGCATACCAAGAATTATTTCTTGCAGTTCTTTCTTCGTTACCTGCAGAGCTTAAAATTCAACTCTACCCAGAGGAACTTTGTGAGTTTACATTGTTCTCATGGTTAGTCTTCATCACTTCATTTTACGACAACAAATATTTTCCAGTGGCTGGAAAACAGCTAGCATTTGCCCAGTCTTGAAGGAAGGTGATCCGGCATTTGTGGAAAACTATCGTGCTAAAACAACGGCATCTACTTTTTCTAGACTTCTATAGCTAATTTTTATGATACCAGATATAATTCTGCGAAAACCAGTTAATTCGAAACATTATCATAGTTTTCTGGAGAAAAAAATGTTTGTTTACTATTCTGCTTGTATTTGCTAACTCATATCTGAAGCACTTGACATGCGACGATCCCAGATCGATCTACGAATAGTCGTTTTTCAACCCAATCGTTATGGTTCATTCGATAGATACCAATAAGTCGAAATTGAGGTTCACCATTCTAGTCGATATACAGACACCACAGGCGATGTCTTAGGTTCAACCTCGGGCCGCTCTCATTATTATTGTTCTTTGATGATATTTCAAAGATCATCAATTCATCAAAGTTGATATATGCCGATGACCTTGAAATCTATAAACAATTGAAAGAACCTCAGACGGTTTGAATTTACAGTTTATCTTAATGAGGTCAATGTGTGGTGATCCGTGGTATCATTCAACAGAAAGCACGGCACCATCGAGTTCAACGACAAAATCCTCAAGTACACATAATGAATTTCAGTAACTTCTTTCAGATTTTCTGGAAATATATTATACAGTGCATTTCTATTGAAGTGAAATTGACTGATGAAACTTTCAAGATGGTCACTGGGCGCCATCTGGAAAAAAATCAAATAGAAAGGAAGGTCTTGTGACAGATCTTTTTGAAGCTCCTAACTACATAATATGTGGTAATAGGCTTGAGGTCAGTTCGGAAGATGCTCGAAATGGTTGCCTTAAAATTCTTGACATATGAACAGCCTATCCAATATTTCACGCCGAACATTTTCGAACACAGTAACGTCAATATCTCTACAAATATTAATTATTCTCTGCCGTATATCCAATATTGAAGCAGGTTCAGTTTCGTACACCTTTTGCTTCAAATAGCCACATAGGTGTCAAATTTGGTGAGCGGGCTGACCGGGAAAAGTAGTATCCAAATAGTTTCCTCCTACTTGTCTGTAGTAATGTGGTGGTGCTCCATCTTGTTGGAATACAATATCCATATTCAATTCATTAGGATTCGCTTCTACGATTTCAGTGATGAGAGGGTCAACAGTAGTTTTCAGCATATTCAAATACAGTTCCCTTGTGAAATTTGGATAAACAAATAGAGGTCCTACAATATGGTTTCCCAATATTCCTGCCCAAACGTTAACTTTTTCTCAATATTGGGTATGTGTTTCCCGGAAAACGTGAGGGTTGGTGTTACTCTCATAACGGCATTTTGTCTGTGAACATTGACGTTTAAAAAAAATTACATTCGTCACTAAAACAAATATTGTGGAGATACGTAGGATGCCTTGCAATGGTTTCCGGCATGATTTCGAAGAATTCTGTTCTTCAATCAGGGTCATCTTCACTTAATTGGTGTACCATTTTGATTTTGTATGGATGATGCCTATTCCTCTTCGAAAGTCTCCACATAGTAGAAGGAGACACCGAACAAACATTCGCGACGGAATAAGTAGACTGTTTAGGATTTACTTCCGTCTCACCAATTATTTGCATTTGCTGTTCTTCCGGAATGGATGGATGACCTGGAGGCTTTTTGTTATGTACACTACCGGTAGTTGTGAATTTGGATACCTACAATTTTCCTCAAATATTTTCTACAGATAGGACGATTCGGAAAACGTTCATTGAAAATCCTTTCGGTCTCGTGAAAGTTAAGCGTAGCACCCTAAATAAAAATTGCTTCAATTTTTCCTTCCAATGGACGAGAATTGACCATTTTAGAAATTGTTGACGTGGTACCTTCCTACTAGTAAAACCGAAAACTAAATGAGAATATTCTAACTGAACGATAATGTTCATTGTCGTACTGACATTTTTTGACGTCTTTATAAACAAAAAATAACTTAACAAACCTTATTGGGTTGTTGGAACTGTCATATGGCAGATAAAAAGGAATATTTCTAGAAATATCGATATTGATGTGTTTGTCCTCAGGAAATTATTAAATGTTCCGCCATTTTGTAGTAGGTCAAGATATTGACTTCATATTCTAGGGTTGTGAAGTATTCGTCAGGAGCTTCAAAATGATATGTCACAAGACCCCCCTTTCTATTCAATTTATTTTTTTCAAATGGCGCTCAGTAGCCATCTTGAAAGTTTCATCTGTCAATTTCACTTCAAAATAAAGTATTCATGCATTTATTTCATTATTCCAAATTTCAATTCTTTGAGTTGACCCGTTCAAAAAATAAGAATACGGTGGGGGGCATTGAAGAAATGCACAGTATAATTTACGGCTGCATAAGTACGAAGATTGTTAGTCGCGAATATTTTCAAGAAAAATTTGATTTAACCTTGTCTTTTACTTGCTTGCAGAATAAATTTACTAATAATGGAAAACATTCAAGTGTCGATGTATTTTCGAAACCGATTACTCTTTTTATGAACCTTCAGTTTGAGAGTAGTTTTCTTTTATGGAAATCATTTTCAATAATGCATTTTGTGATGTAATGTATAATCTGAATCATGTTTTTGACTTTCTAGGCTGTCAGGCTGTCAACATACAAGTTTTAATTCAGCCAATGATATTATGTCCCTTATAGTGTAGAAAATCACAATACGTACGGTTTTAGTGAACCAAAGTATCTGAATGAACCAGGTATTGTCACAAAGTTTTCTTCTCTTCGTAACGCCAAAATAATCCTATCAGCCACGTCATTGGATTTCAAACATGGAAATATTTTTGAATCAATGTTGTCGAACATTCCTGTTTGTTGAATGAAATAAGGGCATACAACTGAAGTTTTGACTCCTTTGATTCCCAGCGTTTCTAGTTCGATTTTGAGAGACTCGTCGAACCCAACTGCAGCATATTTTGAAGCACAGTAGTCCACCAATTTTGGTACTCCAATTAGACCCGCCATCGACGCTACAGTGATTATGTGTCCATGATCTTTTTCGATCATTTTTGGCAAGAATGCTTTAACAGTCTGAAAATAATAATGACTTTTATTTGAGTGCTGGAAACTAAAGAAATGTTAAAATGGAACCAAAACGAGAATGAAGAGGTACAAAGTGAACAGAACTCGTGGAACTTGGAAAGTCTTGCAATATGTAATCAGAGCAAAAAAATTATGTTAAGCGGTTTTGTTGGAAAAAAAATGATGAAGTGGATAATGTACTAAAAACTAAAAAATAATTCGGAAGGTCTTAGGTAGCAGTCATTACAGCGATCTACGATATTGATCCGATAAATAAATAATAAAATCGTTGGGCGTAGCGTAAACTGAGTAAATATGTGAATACTATGCCCAACGATTTTATTATTTTTCATCTGATCAATACCGTAGAATGCTGAGTATGGTGTGATAACTGTTACCTAGGACCTTCCAAATAATGTTTTTGGTATATGGTACCAATAGAATTGGTTAGGAATGGAAAGGATAAATGTAGAGCATTGATCTGGAATCCACAACCACCAAAACTATATTCTCCTAATAAATTACACAAAACCAATTTCCCGATTAGACCTGAGGTGTCGTTTGTACACAGGCACCTACCGTAAAAATCTTAGAAATCCTTATAAAATTGAATCAAACCTATATCAATTTCAAGCCGAAATTTAGTATAAATAGTTTTTATCAATTAGTGGATGATATTAAAAACGTAATTCTTCCTGATAATGCAAAATTAATATCATTCGATGTCCAAAATGTATTTCCCAGTATTCCGTCAATTGAAACAATAGGACTGGTGGAGTGTCTCTTAGACAAAAACCACGTGAATCCACTGATAAAACAGGAAATTTCAGATTCACTTACTGTTTGTCTATCTCAAAATCATTTCCAGTTTGACAAAAAATTCTATTCATGCGGTGAAGGACTGATAATGGGAAACCATTTGAGTCCCTTATTGGCTGAAATTTTTATCGATAACATAGAGTACGAAATCCATAATAATCAGTTAACAACAGTTTTTTGTACTGGTACAGATACGTAGTTGATATCTCAGTCTGTTTTATTGGTACAGATAGGCAATGAGGCAAGTTCATTGAATATGTCAAGTCCATCCACCCGTCAATAAAATTCACCACTGAGAGGGAGAAATAATTCAAAAAATTACTTTGACTCAACCATTACGAAAAATAACAATAAACATGAATTTGCAATTTTCCACAAACAATCGTACATAATTCCTCCATACACCCTTACCAGCATAAAGTTGCTGCATTCAATAGTATGGTTCATAGACTATTGAATATTCCACTATCTGAGAGTAATTTCCCGAGAGCTGAATTTGATCAAACATCCGCGGTTAACAACGGTTATAAGGTAGATATTATAGACAACATTCTTTCCAAAAAACTACAAAAGCAAGCCATGTATCTACCCAAATTCAAGATGCAGTAACGTCAGTTATAGGACGTTGTCATACTTGGGTGAACCAATCAATAATATTGCCCGTTTTTCAAGAAAGAATGCATAAGCGTAGCGTACAGAACTTATAATAGTCTAAGTAAATTTATTTAAAACAATAAAGACAAAACTTCGGTGTCGGATAGATCAGGAGTATATAAGCTGACTTGTGGCTCTTGCCCAAAACTATATATTGGCCAACCAGAAAGAACATTTCCCAAAGAATTAAAGAATATAGAAGTAGTTTCGTGAATAGAAAGACCAATTCCACATTTGCAAACCACCTTTTAGTAGAAGGACGTGAGTTCAATCATGAATACGATGTGTTACATTTAGACGAGAAGAGTTTGAAACACAATCTTCTCGAATGTTTAGAAATAAATAGATTCAGGAATTCGGGTAATTTACTGAATGATCAATTAGAATTGAATAATTCCCCGTTAGTAAATATTTTTTCTAATGTGGAAACTGGGACATGAGCTCAGGTAATTTAATTCATTACAAACTTAAGTGAGAATCAGGTACTTGAAATGTAATTACTTCAAAATATAGACTAAGGTATATTTAGCATTGAATATGTATAATTAGTTAGTATAGGCACGCCCTAGGAAGCCATTGTATGGCGAAACACGTGTTGCATTTTTGTAAAATCGTTTAGTGAAAATCTCACAATAAAGTGTTTTCTAAATAAGTTTTTTTTTGTATTTTAGTACATTATCTACATCATTATTATCTTTTTTTTCAATGAAACCGTTTAACATTCGAAATTTTTTTCATGTTTTTTTCAAGTTTTTATTATCTAATTTTGCTACTCATTTCATAGATGCAGTCATCTTGTATTTACAATAATACAGAATTTATTAAATTGTATTGTCATCAAAACTAAATGAGTGTTCCAAATTTCAGATCAATTTGTCAACAGGAAGAGGGTCAAACTTCAATTAATAAATTTGACCCAAGAAACAAACGAATGAGGCAAGCTAAATAAACGTATAACGAATTATTCGGAATAGAACATATGACTTTTTCAATATCAAATTATATGTTTTCATTTTTTCGACAGTATGCTGAGGAATTTTGATTTTCTGTCATTCGTTTTCTTCATCTCCTGAAGAGGCCAACTCGTTTGGCGATACGCGCGACCAGAAGAGTATTGCATTTCTGGTGAATGTGAAACGTGGTTGTTTTGGATTTCTGTCAATAGGTACTTTGATTGTTGTTATGGAAGATTGTTTTATCAAACGTAAATTTTATCTTTTGTTATTTCACTAGCTCACAAACATCTTTTCTGATATGATTGATCAAGCAAGTCTGGCGTCTAAAATTAGATATACAGGTGATAACCTCCTGACACCGGCTGTTCAGACATAGATTAAACATTTCACATATTTTACAGAAGTGGATTTTCGTATTCCAAAACTTATACTATATGCAGGAATATTTTAACGCTTTGAATCGACCGCTTTCTTTGTCCAGTCATCTTAGTCAAAAATAGGTATCGTATGGAATTGTATTTTGACATCCTGAGAGTTGTCTCAAAACCTACATATGTTAGCGTGTACGCGACTACCAAAATCTGAGGTTAAAGGTCACAAAAATCGATTTTTTGCTCATTTTTTAAAAATACCTCGTTTCCTATGGGTTTTTCGCAACTTGCAATCATTTTCAATATTATAGATGGTTGAATTCCCTATAATTTTTGTTTCAAAACGTTTGTTTACTTGATTCGTTTTCGAAATAGGGGGCGAAGAGCATTATTCACGGTCAACCAGTACTCCAGGTAAGAAACACGTCATATTAAGTTTATTAGCTATTGGTGAATACATAATTATTATAGATTTTCATTTCTCATTATATTCAATCATTTTATAACCGATTCCTAAAATTAAAATATAAATGAGGAACAAACTTCAATTACATTTTGATTACATTCTGAAAAAAAAAGATGTTTTTGAAAGCATTTGAGAAACTGCCGAATTTGGATAAACTTGCAGCTGCATTTGAAGAAAAAAACTGTTCGGTTATTTGATAATGGAATTCAAATCTTGTTGGCAGTCTATAATGCTCGCAAATCTGTAGAAATATTCTGAAGATAGAACCTTTGACCCCGAAATCATAGAAGACTTGACGACAAATGTCATTAAGACGATAAAGAAGAGGAATTTGAAATACTACTTCGGTCGCAAGACGACGATGAAGAAGAAGATAATTGAAAATATAAGTTGTTGTTTTTGTGATTTTTATTCAGTTATTTCAATTTTTACGATATTAAATGTATGGAATTTTCTCCAATGAAAACATCAATTTGTAATTTCTCTTATTTCATTCATTTGAGATGTTATCAATATAAATTACATTGGAATTGAAATAAAAGGATTTTCCTCAACAATTCTATAGCGACATGGGCAGGTAAGTGTTATTAAGTAAATTGATACTCAATTAAAAATTAATACGTAAGTAAGTGAAATAATCATTGAATATAATGTAATTATCAATTATTAACTATTCATCAGTAATTAAAATTCGAAAATAATGTGCAAAAAATCGATTTTTGGGACCGTTTACCTTAGATTTTAATAGTCGCGCACACTCTACCATATGTAGGTTTCGAGACAAAACTTAGGATGTCAAAATACAAGTTTATGCGAGTTTATAGCTGTGTATCTCAAATTCCGAGGTGAACTTACTAAGTTGACTGGACTATTCTTGGCATTTTCACGTCAAACAAATTCGAACGAAACAATTCTCAACGAATAAACATTTCATCAAGTCCTACTTGAAGACTCTAAGCTAGTCGTGACATTGAAATATTTTTTATCGGCAAAATTTATATTAATTAATTTCGTGATTCGCTAACCAGTTTAGTTTTGGAAGCAGCTAAACTGATGCAACAAATCGCTCGCCTTAGAACTGAGAAATACACAGCAGAGTAGCACACTGACCTCGATCACGTTGAAGAGAGGATTTTGCAACTCAAAAAAAAACACAAACATTGGAATGATTCTTTTTTTTAGCAGAATCAGTTTCCAGTTCCTGTATAGGTAACTGATAGCGGAGAAAGTGAACTTGGAAAGGATGACAACAAAGCTATTCAATTGTTTGTTGAGAACCAGTTTACTAGTAATAAAATATTTTTTGTATTGATTTATCGCTTGATTTGAAAAATTTCAGTATCACTTGAAAAATATACATATTTTCGAATCATAACGGATAAGTGGATTAGCTGAAACACATGAAGTAACATTGAAATATGTGCGATAATTATAAAATGTAATTGAATTTCAGTGTTTAGAATAGTGATTTATAATCAGCAAGGATCTGTTGAATCATTTGCTTCCTTAATAGTATATTCATGAAAGAATTTCAGAACAGTTGGTTTTTTGATATGTTGTCTTTCTTGCTCTTTCGGTTAGAGTTCGGACTACCTGGATGGCGGTAGTGGTTGCGTTAATTAATGCGCATCTTACCTGCACAGGTAAAAATCCTCAACTCCAAAAGAATTTTTTAAAGCATAATTTTTCAATTTTTTTTTTTAGATAGATCTACCAGACATCAATTTTTTATTGCCAGGCATTTTTATTGTTGTTAATTATGTGTCATACGCGATTTTTTATTTTTTGTAAATGAAAAATTCAAAGTATTTTTGAATGTCTGTAATTTTTATATTATGTTCTTTAAACATAAAATAATCTTAAATTGATTTGCCAGACGTTAATTCGATTGTTAAGTATTAAATATAAAAAAAGTAATGAAAAGTATTGCGGTATAATGCTTGTGGTTAGAGAGAGAAAGTTTAAAGTGCAAGACGGATAGAAAGCGACGGCAGCGCATCGGCAAATGGACAACATGGCGTCAGTCTAAAGTCACATGTTTGTTTTGTGTTTTCGTTATTTGTGTTGTGTTATTTATTAATTTTGTTATAATGGCCAGTGAATCTACTTCACATACTTTGCCATTAAATACACCAGCAAATGTTAGTGAAACTATTGCGGGAAACATAAACAGTGAAATCGTAAATGAGGTTAGTGCTTCGACTTTAATTTATCCACACAACATCTGATGATAAATATGATTTTGTCTGTTTTTTTGTGGAATTGACCGCGGTGTCAGTGCGCCCGACTCACGATCGGCAGGCCGTGGGTTCGATTCCCGCCTCGACCAGATATTTTTCTCGAGGGAATGTATCTGGTTGAAGCTGGGATGATTCTGCAACCGTGTAAAAGAGCAAGAAAGCCAGCATATCAAAAAACCAACTGTTTTGAAATTCTTGTTTTCCAAATGTTGCTAATTCCCGTACTATAACCAGTTGTAACCCCTCCACGGGCAGCCCACAGAAGTCAAAGCGAGGATCAACGAGGTCTTATCTTTTAATGTGCGATTTCTAGCATGGGCCACGCATGAACGCAATAGTTTTATTATGTTGCCATCATTGAGAATGAAACTTACCCAAAAGTGTGCGATGATGTTAACATCGAACGTCCTTTTTATCAAATGGTCTGGTGTATTAAGTAGTAGTTCTCCAGAAACTACACCAGCATTGTTGATCAAAATGGTTACCTGAAAATGAAGACATTTTAAACTATTTGTTATACATTCCTATATGATTGATTTTCACGGTAACCACCATAAAAATTCACTTATTGTTATTATGGTAAAACTAAAATATGTTTGATCGGACAACAAATTTATCCTACGTGTGATGTTATGTATGGAAAATATAGTATTTTTGAAGACTTGTTATGTTATGTCCCAACTACACAAAACGGCATCAACTTCATCATGAATTTTTTACGAATAACATCGTAACATAGATTGTTAGAATGACGATTTGTATATAAAATATAGTTTTACTATGGTAGAACAGTAGTAGATAGATAGACATATACGTTATGTCTATCTATCAAGAAAATACAATCTTATTGACAAAGCTTGTTAAAAAATCTGGTATATATAGCACTTCAAAGAATAAAAGAAAAGAAACAATTCAAAAACACAAATACACAGAAACACACTTTGAGCAAAACTAAGTTCACATATCTAATAGATAAAATATAACGATAGAAAATAAAATTTAACAAAATGTAGACAAAATAGTTTGTATAGTCCCTTTCAAAAGATGTAAATAACAAATATATACAATTTGAACATAAGTTCACATGCCATGGCAATAAAATAAGATCTATCCCAGTATAAAATATAATTTAAAGTATAGGTGTCAATATAAACAACAAAAAAAACATATTGAATCACAGCAATGTTCCATTGTAATATTCATCAAGATTGTAGTACGCTTAAGTTGCAAGGGCATCTTTAACATGATTTCTGAACTTTTTATAGCTTTTTTCCTTCCTAATTTCGTAAAGTATGTGATTATACAGCTTTTTACTTTCATAAATCATATTATACTTTGTCTGGCTTGTTTTTGGAACAGGAAGATGTATTTTACTTTCAGTTACTTGCCGGGTTATGTAATTTGTAGGTTCCGGAGTTCCAACCATATTACGTATTTTGTAAATCAAGCAAACAGTTTCAAGTATGAAAATACAAGTAACAGTGAGAATTTTTTCTCTCAAAAATAATGGTCTGCATGACTCACGCACTCCCACCTTGGATAAGAATCTAACCGCTCGCTTTTGCAAAACAAACACTGAATGAAAAAGTTGTTGACTGCAAAATCCCCAGAAGGCAACACCATATCTCAGGTGCGACTCAATCAGGGAATGATATACCATTTTTGTTGTGGATGAATCAGTTCATCTGAAACTATTCGAAGTGCATAACATCCTGATGCCAATTTTTTATTCAAAGCTGAAATATGTTGATCAAATTTTAATTTGTTATCCATGAAGATTCCCAGAAATTTGGATTGCTTTTTATTCTTAAGAGTTTGTCCATTTAAGTATAAATTGTTAATATTACAGCTGAAGGTGAGTAGGTTTGTTTTTTTAATATTAAAGCACAAGTAGTTTGCGTCACACCATTTTTTCACAACTTCTAAATCACTAGAGATAGTTTCTTTTATATTAGAAGAATTTTTCCATGCCAAAGGAGCGTGGTGTCATCCGCAAAGATGGTAAAAATTCCTTGAATTGAGAGAGTAATCAGATCATTTATATGAATAAGGAAAAGAATCGGGCCTAGTACTGATCCTTGTGGTACGCCCCATAAGATATCTTTACTGTGTGATAGTTTTTCGTTTGATCTTACTAACTGTTTTCTATCATTTAAGTAAGACCTGAACCAGTCTATTGTAATATACCAGTAATATTCCAATTTGAGAGTAAAGTGAAAATACATGTCATACGGATCTCACCTGTTCTCTCCGTCAGTTATCAGACGTTCTATGAGTCGTCAGTCTTCAGTGAATAATTCCAGTGAACAATTTTTGTGAAGGATTGTAATTCTTATTTAATGGAGAACACGCAAATTTTGTACTTGTGATGCACTGTTTGGAACTTTTGGTGTAGTAATGAATATTACTGGAGTTTTATCCCAACATCAAACCGTTATTTTAACACTTCGACACGTATTTCGATCACCAAGTGATCATCTTCAAGAGGAAGATTGAACAGTTTAATCTTCCTCTTGAAGATGATCACTTGGTGATCGAAACACGTGTCGAGGTGTTAAAATAACGGTTTGGTGCTGAGATAAAACTCCAATAACACTCAAATGTTGTGTAAAAAATTACATTAAGTGCTAAAAAACACTTGAAATGTTGAGAGTGGCATATGGTGATTATACTCTGATTGGTAAAAGCTCTTCAAAGAAGGTCGAGAAGATGTGGATGACGCTCGCCCCGAACGCGTCAGTACATCACATGTTATAAAAGATCGTTGAATTGATATTGGAACAGTAACAGCCATTGTATTTTTTGGAAATTTTGAGCACGAAGCGTATGTTAGCGAAGTTCTTTCCAAAATTGCTTGATTTTTACCAAAAATACCTGAGTATCGCTCAGGAGTTGTTGACTGGCGTCAACGGCGATCCAGATTTACTCAAAAGGGTCATAGCTAGTGACGATTCAAGGGTATATATGGTTATGACATCGAAACCAAAGTTCAATCATCTCAATGGACGTCTCAATCAAGAAGTACTGAAAATAATTCCTTTTCATATAAATGTATCCAACTTTGATGTTATGCCCTGTTCAAAAGTTAAAAGGGGCGGGACTGTTAAAATCCGCACTGTATACATAAAGTAGGGTGCAAAGATTCAACCCTACCAGTATACTCATCAAGCTGGGAAGTCAACGGATTTGGCATTACATTGTTGGCTTCAGTTCTTGAAATAATAAGAACATTTGACTGTGCAGTACCTAAATCTGTTGATTTGGCTGAAGAAGTCATAGAATCGATTATTACTGATAGGATCTACGCCATGCTCAAAAACAGATCAACTACTGCCACTCTTGAAGATGACACCGTAGTGTTCCTTCCTTGGGACAAGATACTATTTTCCTTCTTGTGGTCACTCCTAAAGGACAGTTTGCTTGATGTCTTTGACATGAGGCGGATCAATCTGCAAGGTTATGCAGACGAACTTACCATCTTGGCAAGGACCATATCAAGAAATGTAGCCTTTCAAATTATCCAAAAAATGTTGTTTGTGCCAGAGAAAGTAGTTATCTATAAATATCAGAAAAACTGTTATAGTCCAATTCACCATGAAGAGAAATCTGGATAATTTAATTACGCTTTCTATTCGCGGCCAAGGTGAAATTTAGGATTCAACCTGGATAAAAAAACTCACGATTGAATGTTCAATAATAAAAAGTGTTTCACTCTTGCCATCTAACCTGAAAGATCATCTATCAGATGATCTAATCGGCTTCGTTGAGAAGCTGGCCTCATGTGGAACCTAACCTAACCGAATCTTAGTATATTGAACTCCGCAGGTAGCTCTGTATAAATCGTGAGATTGATCGCGGAAGTAGTTGTTTTCTGACGTTCATATGAAAATTATTTTTGTACAGGAGCGGAAAAAGAAATTATTTCATTCTGAACAGTTTGTGTAAGGTAATGTTCAACAATTGATGGCTGGAATGTTTCTCTTGCCGAAAATCTGGAAGAAATAATTTCCAATTTGAGTACTTTATTTTACTGTTTCACTGGCGGATTGACTGTCCTTGTTCATATTTCACTGCCTGAACCACTGTGCATGCTGTTTTTGGCAAGTGCATTGGCTTGGGATCTGGAGGTTGAGCAAACCGACCATCGGATGCCTGCTTCCACGCAGCCCCGCTGCATACAGGAATGACAGAATCACTTGTGGTGTTCTAATGGCATCCCAACGATGGATTGATCCTAAGGTGTGTCTACCCATGCCAAGAGGATGAATGACACTGAGCCTATCAGATGTCTCTACGGAACCCTCGAGATACCGGGCACCCTATCGTCTTAGCATCGCCTTGTCACGGTAGTGCGGGGCTCTGCCGTGATTGACCTTCCTTCCCTAGCTACTGGTGGAACAGAGAGCAGTAAGTTTACTCTGTCATGGACGGATTGAACTTAAACATTCTTTCAGAGTCTACAGAGGAGATGGATGTCGAGCTTATGACTCCAACAGACCTCCCTGTAAATTTAGAACAGGAGCGAGAGCTTCTCAACTTTTCAACTTCTGATTCAATAACTTCAAAAAAAGGTTTGGTGGTGCAGCCAGAAAACGACTGAGTCGTCTCCTCATTGCACCGCATTGCACCAAATTCTTGAGCGGCGTCGCAGAATCTGTCTCATGTGGAGGAACAAACACCCCATGAGCAGGTTAGGAAAAGTTTGCGCTCAAGTGATAATTCACCAAAACTAGAGGCGAAAAATCCCTGCACGGTTGAATCTAAGGCATCGTCAGGTGTAGCTGACGTGCAAAAACTCTCATATGGGAAAGTTGTCGCGGGTATCAAGGTGGAAATCTTGCACCTTGATTATCCAACTACCTCATTAAAGATGAAACAGCAGAGCATATACTTTGTGCCTGCCTCGCTAGGGACCGAATCAGGTTTTTAGAGTTCGACAGAGTCGTACTCTTACCATCTGACCTGAAAGACCACTCACCATACAAACTAATCAGCTTAGTTAAGAAGCTGGGTTTATTTGGTCGACTGTGAATAGGCGTGAGCCACAAAAATTTTTTGCGGTTTGCGGTGGAGGGTCGAAAAGACCCACTCACTTTGGACCTAACCTAACCTAACCTGTTCACTACGAGAGCTGAAATGTTGAGTAGAAACAAAAATTAAAGTTCAAGTTCTTTTTCAACCTACAGAGACAGTAGAGAGTGGACAAATATTTTCCCAATGACTCGACTAGCCGAACAAAGAATGACTGTATATAGAGTTCGGCAGGTATTAAGGTATTAATGAAAACGACTGATGCAAAATATAATTGGGCACTTCAAGAAAAGCAATTTTTTATTGATAGCGGATCTCTGGAAATTTGGAATAATATGACTGATATAATATGACTGAATTCAAATTGGAGACATATAATGAACAAATATTAAAGTTATTTGTACAACAAAGATGCCTCTATGGCATCTCGTTACCCTTATATGTGTATGTACAA